TCTTTTTTTACTCATCAAAGCAAATAGATTTCAGCGAAAGAACAGAGCAGCTAAACAACCAGAGCATTGAGCATCCAGAGTGTCTCACCTCAAAATAGACAAGCATCCAAAGTTGAATCCTTGACTTTTTGACTCTTAAAACTGCTTCTATTTGAATGCAGCATCAGCTTCATTCTGGTCTTGGGACAATAACAACATATAAACAACATATAAAGGTTCTTACTTTTTTTTTCTATCATTCGTTCACATATTTTCTCCTTCTATCCATTTATCCTTTCATCCATTCATCTGTTCTTCTGGCTATTCTTCCAGCCTCCAGTCTTCTCCACCCAATCATCTATCTAAGCCTTCTTCTTTTCCTCTAGATCTTTTTCCAGTGCTGCTCTCCAGCTCCTTCTCTGAGATCTGATCACTTTAATAAATCACAAGGGATGTAAAATCCTTTCAGAAAGTTCTGGAACTGCTCCGCACCTTCTTCCTCTGGAGTCTAGAAAACTGGAGACTAATCCTTGGTTCCGATCATTGCAGATTTGGATCCATCACCTTGCTAAGGAGCTCAGAGCTTCATGTTGCTGTTTGAGAAGAGGAAACTTTTCTGATCTCATGATCTAATCAGGGAAATCCACTTTGACCCATGTAATTTGCCAAGTGAGATGGCAGGTGAGGAGGCGGAGCTTGTAAAGGTAAGCTCTTTAGGTGGTCTGAACATTGTGGCTAAACGGTGACCTTTCATCTGTGCTTAGAGGTGCTGAAGTCAGGATGGAAAAACTTCTCTGAATCAGCAGTAAACACTTTACAGTGATATTTAATCAATGGATTGGGTTCCTTTATTAAGACAAATATGCACAGCAAAAAGTGAAATATAAGTGAGTCAATTTTTCTTAAAATTACTTAATTTTCCTCTGATTTCAGCAGTTAAGTCAGACAATTTGTCAGTTAAATGAGGTTATTCATGTTTAAACTAGAAAAATCAACTACGCAACTATCTTATTTCAAGTACATAATATCTAATTATTCTATTTTAAGTTGAAAACACTGTACATACCTTTACCTGCTCAAATTAAGGTGAATACACTGATTTTAAAAGCCTTTTACTCATCATAGTAACAAAAGATACTTAAGATATGGTTCATTATTTGTTCCTATTATTATAAATAACAGATACTGTGCTGTGACATGATCTAGATCAGTATTTCCCAACCTTTTTTGACTTGTGTACCCCTTTGGGCATTTTGTCTTACCATGAGTACCATGGGGAGGAGGAATGGATGCATTGATATTTATCTAAAAACAAATGATTGATTTATCACTTGACAACAAAAGAACCCTCAGACAAACTGAACTCTATTGAAATATAAAGGCTCTTCTCATATAAAGCCTTAAATGGCCAAGCTCCATCTGATATCAGAGATCTGATTGTTCCTTATGTTTCTAACAGAGCACTTCACTCTCAATCTGCAGGTTTACTAGTGGTTCCTAGAATTTCTAAAAGTAGAATGGGAGGCAGATCTTTTAGTTATCAGGCTCCTCTCCTGTGGAACCAACTACCAGTTTTAGTCCGTGAGGCAGACACCCTGTCTACTTTTAAGGCTAGGCTTAAAACTTTCCTTTTTGATAAAGCTTATAGTTAGAGTGGCTCAGGTTATCCTGAGCTATCTCTATAGTTATGCTGCTATAGGCTTAGACTGCTGGAGGACATAGAGTCCCCTATTTCATCATTCTGCTTCATTCTCTCTCTATTTTCCCACTCTGCAGAATCGTTCTGCTCTCTCTGCTTTTTCTCATAGTAGCTTTGTCTGGTCTGTTCCTGTTTGGCTGTGACTCCATCCTGGAAAGAAATATGTGCTGCTGCCATCAACACCTTTGTTTATAGTGTGTTATAGTTATAGTAGACATCTATGTTCAGTGGAAATAGTTATAGTTTTTCAGTGTAGCACTTTTCCTCTTACTGTGACTAACTGGGTGTGCTCTTTTCATCGTCTGACAAAGGAGCTGGCTCAGAGCTCGTCTGCCTGGCTGTGTGTTTCCTGGATGGGGCCGTATGTGGAGTCTGTGGTTGACAGTTGCCTTTTTTGATTCTGTCTCCTTGAACCCCAGTCGGCCTCGGAGATCTCATCCTGTTAAATGGGAGTTTTTCCTCTCCACTGTCGCTACAAGCATGCTTAGTGAGAAATTGCCTTATAAATCAGTCTATGCTTTTCCTTAGATAGAAAACTTTGGATCAATTTGACTGTATGATCTGGTTGAATGGTAAAGTGCCTTGAGATGACATGTGTTGTGACTTGGTGTTATATAAATAAACTTAATTGAACTAAATCAGGGATATTGCATCATAAAAGCAGAAAAATGCTGTTTCTGTTGCTTGAAAGCTCAGAGATCCTCAGTAATTCCTGCAGGTAGTAAATGGATGAGGAAATCAATTAAAATAGTGATCTGCGTAGAAAATAGAGGAAATTATTTCTCCACTGTGTTTTTTTGGACATATATATAATTAGTAATAAACAAACATCCAACAGAAGCTGACTTTTGACTCCCTCTAACAACTTCAGTCCCCGCTGCTGCTTTCCGTCGCTCTCTGCTAAACTGAGGCTCCACTTTTATTTATCCGCTGCTGATTGTAAGGTTGTAACAGTGACTCTAACATTACTGTAACCCTCAGCTCTCTGTAGAGGCTAAATTACATGTGTTTATGTTGGATCTGATACGATCCAAATACAGGGTGGCATGGGCTGGGTGCAGTGTGCAGCTATCATTAACCATCACTGGTGTGGCTTTAACCTTCGCAGCACACGTTAACCCGAATCCTGCTCTGACTCCACTAAGTGGTGATTAATGTTACGCTTGAAGAAACTTAGAAGAAGTTCAACAACAAGCATTTTTTTATTGCATGACCTCTGATTTTTCTTTTAATTTTTGACTTTAACAAATTTAGCTCTTGTTTAAAAAGGTCACATTTTCTGCTCTGTTATTAAGAAACCACTTATTTAAGTTGTATGAAAACCAGTGAATCTTTTCACAGCAGCTTTTATAAACATCTCTAGTCTGGCAGCTGATGTTTTATTAAGAATAAACCATCATCCTCCATGCAGGGATAAAAAAAATAATAGACAATCATACTTTATATACAGATTTAATGTGTAATTATGTGTTCCCTTTTCCGAATCTTTTTAATCTGTCTTTATCTTTAAAACACAAAGTATGAC